TTTGGTCAATCCTCCTTCTGTTCGACAACAAAGTCATATCAACACATATCAACCTTATCGTAAGCTTTTTATAAATCAATAAAAATCATATGTAGATCCTCCTTATTCTTTATGCATTTCTCCATCAAACCTCTAAATAAATGTATAACTTCCATAGTATACCTGCCCGGCATAAATCCAAACCGATTATACGAAATCTTTGTAACACGTCTTGACCTATGTTCAACCTCTCCCATAATTTTAAAGTATAACACATTAACTTAATTCCTCTATAATTTGCACACTTTTGTATCTCATTATTCTTAAAAATGGGAACCAAAATACTCTTCCTCTACTCTTCAGACATCTTTTTTGTTTTCAAAATAATATTAAAGAGTTTAGTAAGCCAAGAAACTCTCACATCTCCTAAATATTTTCACACTTCAATTAGAATATTATCAGATCCAACAAATTTTCCACCCTTAGTTTTCTTTAAAGCCTTAAATTTTTTTTTCTAATGTGATGGTAAAAATAAAATATTTTATTATTACTAACGATATTAAGATCAATAAGATTGATCGTATTTTCAAAAACTTCATTAAAAAGTTTATCAAAATAACTCACCCATTTGAGTTGAAAATCCTTTTATAAGAAAAGCACTTTTTGATTTTTCATATTTAATACAACATGAGTTAAATCTTTACTTTTCTTTTATCTTTGTTTGCCTAATTTATACATATATTTGTCACCCGCTTTAGTATCTAATATATTATAAAGATTACTAAAACAGAATTTTTAGCATCACAAATTATTCTCATAGACTCCCTACGTGTTACCTTATATTTTTCTCATTTCTCTATACTTTAACATTTAAACTAAATTTTACAAGACTTTTCTTATATTTTATCTTTTCTTGCATATTATTATTCTACCACCAACAACTATTTTTATTCATAGAAATTTTTCCTTTTGATTCTCTAAGTACATTTTTTCTACTTGTTTAATAGAGTTTGTTACTTTATCCCACATAAAATTTATTTCTTCATGAAAATCTCAAATCTTGAAATCTTGAAGTTTACTCAAAAAAATAATTTATTTTTCTTGAAAGTGGCCCAATCTAATTCTATGACAATAATTGCTAGTATTATTTCTCTTATAACTCTTCATCTTAAAATCCAAAAATAATAATCGATGTTGAGTACCTAAATTCTCACTTAGAAATGACCTTATAATCTTTCCATTCTCGATGATCTCTTCTTTCCACAAGAAAATAATTAATTTGTGTTTTATTAGATTCATTCTTATAAGTAATATTACGTTCATCTCTTTTCTTAAAAAAGTATTAGAAATTGCAAATCATACGCAAAATCAAAATCTAATATTGTTCTACATTCTTCACTAATCACTCAAAAATCGTAACCACGACGAATATTTCTAAAATGTCTACCAACATGTCCATTTAAATCTCCTCCAATAAAAATACTTTCTTCAAGAAGTATTGTTTGCATTAATTCTTCTAGCTTATTCTAAAATTTTTCTTTAGAACCTATATCTAAACCTACTTGAGGAGCATAAACACTTATAATATTAAAAATTCTAGTATCAACAATAATCTTAATAATCTTAAGGGTTATAATTCTTAAGGGTTATAATTCTATCCCGAATTATATTAATTTTTACAACATTATCTTTCAAACTCTTATATATAATAACACCAACACCTTTTCTAGTGCGACTCCTACCTGAAAACCAAAGTTTAACACCTAAGCTATCAAAGTCCTTAGCCTTTTCTTCAACATATTTAGTTTATTGAATATATAAGATATTTACCTTCCTATGAATCATAATATCAATTAATTTCATTAATTTACCTGTGAGAGTACCTATATTCCAAGATCATATTCTAATATTAGTTTCATGGACTAACTTCTTTATCCGCATTCGTCCAAAATGTGGGAATTCTTGCATATTTGACACTACACCCGGGCACATGTGTAGGCCCTTTACACACTTTTCACTATATTCAGATCATATAACGTGTCGCTTTCAAATGACGTCATAGCATTTACACAATGATCTAATTGACTGAGTCATGATATTTCAAAAATTTTATGTTGTTTATCGACCACCTAACGCAATCTTCCACTTTTCACATCTGAGGCTTGGGGCTCAGCAATGACAATGTTCAAGATTCTGACAATCCAAAATTATTTCTCCAAAATTAAGAAAAAAAGTTCCTCAATAAAATTATTCTGATTTTTTTTTACTTAAAGCGAAAACTACTCTATTAAATTACCCCTTTTATTTATTAAATATTATTAATTTTACAAATTTAAATGAAATAAAATAATTAAATTTACAAAGGCATGAATTTTTTTTATAATTACGTTTTGCATTTTTTAAAAATTATTCTCTAAATAGATTAATATTCACAAGACTAATTTTGAAAAACTCTTCAACAAAAATATATTAATATTATCATAACTAAATAACTTGTAAAAACTCTGCGTTATTGTCTTTATTTTAAAGGTGACAATGTGTCATTTAAAATGGGGACAATTTTAATTTATAATTTTTTTATTTAATGTTGATTAGTTAAATTAATATATTAGTCTGTTTATTTCTAAAATTTCATCATTTTACAACATATACATGTAAAAGAGAGGATCAAATCGGATGAGTCGTGAGATGATTCCATCGGAGTATGAAAAAAAAAATAAAAATATAATGACAACCATACTTGATGTCGTAATGGTACATGATCTTAGCTAATGAGCACATACTTTAAGAAATGAGAAGAGATCTTATAATTTCAAAGGTGAAGTCAATAAATTACACAAAAGCAGCCAATCAATGATTCTAAGAGGAAGATTGAACACATAATATGAGCAACGGTTGTGGATAAATAAATTAGGAATACAATGAAAATTCCAAAAGAAATCCTTTTAATGAGTTCAAGATAGAACATATGCTATTAATTCTTATTATGTTTATAAGAAACTACAAATTTTATAGAGCAGCAAGCAAAATAAAGGTTACATATTTTAATGATTAATATAATATACCAGTTACTAAGGCATGAATTAGATATATAAAATAACTAAGCCAAGGGATAAAAGAACCAAAAAGTTTGACAAGATTAGATGCATTAGAAGCAAGGATGACAATATCTCAAAAAAAAAAAAAAAAAAAGGAAAGATAAAAAAATGCTAATTTAAAATATTACTAAATGGGAATTTCAAGGAATAAAACATTCTAAAAAGTATAATAAGGAATATTTAATAGATTGATCCAAAAACTTGAGGTACAATTAGCTACGAGGAAAATAATAGAAGTAAAGCTTTGGATCCATATTAAGATTTGAAAAGTTGTGAGTGATATTACAAAGGTATAGTCAAAAAAAACATTTGCAATGAGATGCTGAATATAAAATTATGAATCAATATCAATGAATATTACTAAAAGAGAAAGTAATAGCAAAGTGAGATTGGCTTAAGAATCTTGGATCATATAAAAAGAGAATATAAATGGAAATATAACTTGTATAGGTAAAATTGAGTGGACAAAATTAAAAAGTGGTTTGAGAGTATTATTCATAAGAGAATATCGTGAAAACAAAGAGAAGCATTATAAAACTACATATAGGTTGACTATCTTCTATGTATTCAAAATTTCGCAGCCAGAAATGTCACTAAGATCCAAGTTCAGCATGATAGCCCACAGAATGTTAAGAAGTATAAGTAGTGTTTATATCTTAGAAAGAATGGGATTATCATCTATTAGAGATACTGTAGTGGAAATAGACTAAGATTATTTGGACAAACACTAAAAGATAGGAAATACTCATAAAATAACTAGAAGAAATTAATAATGAAGGATAAATAAAAATATGTTAAAATTGATAGAAGTTGCACAAAAGAATACCTCCTCATGAGGTGCTCAGGTAGACTCAACATATAAGAGAAGATGAAAGGTCGTAAACAAAATCCCGATATTTGGAATAAGGCAAATGCTGATTACTAGTTTGATCGAAATAAAACTTAAATTATCTATGTTAAATGATGGGACCATAGGACATCTAAATTGTCATTTCAATCAACATAATACTAATAAAGTACCCATTCAACAAGATCAGCATCATATGTACTCAAACAAAACACTTATAAGACGGAGCATAAATAACTAGACTAAGATGGTTCTAAAAGGTAAAAAATACTCATAAAATAACTAGATGACATTAATAATGAAAGATAAATAAAAAATGTTAAAATTGATAGAAGTTGCAAAAAAACATACATCATGAGGTCCTCAGGTAGACTCAACAAATAAGAGAAGATCAAAGGTCGTAAACAAAACCCAGATATTTGGAATAAGGCCAATACTGATTACTAGTTTGATCGAAATAAAACTTAAATTGTATGTGTTAAAATGAAGCCATAGGACATCTAAATTGTCAATCAACATAATACCAATAAAATACCCATTCAACAAGATCAGCACCATATGTCCTCAAACAAAAAGCATATAAGATGGAGCATAATACACGCAATATCTAAGGACTCTTTAGTGGGCAGCAAAACAGGTTGAAAGTAAAGAAACAAGGGTGAAAATATCTTCTTTTGTCTTTTATTCGAGTTTGATTCCGCCTAAAGAAGAACCTTAGTTCAGATTAAACTATTTTTAGTGCATCACTCCACAAAATCCTCGTAAAATAATTGGTGCGTTTTATTTGCAGAAATTTAAAAAAGATACTGGTGAGAGATTGAAAACAGATAATGCAGATTTCATCATTACTTTATCTTCCATATAGCAAATGTGGACAAAAGCTGTACAACCGGCGGAGAGAAAAAAACCAATGATGTTATCAAACAAATGCCCAGACGGATGATAATTGTAACAATGAAAATAACTTTCTTCCTATGGAATACATAAAAAAAAAAAGGCTTCAAAAGACTAATAATCATCAGAACAGAAGGTTACAATCACAGAAATGTTTGCAATGTCAGGGGGGGGGATCAAACCTGTGATATAGCTGCAAGGACACCGGAGTGGTATAGCTGCTGCTGCTGCATAAGAGCCTGTTGCATCAGAGCTTGCTGCTGTTGTTGCTGCTGCTTTAGTCTCTGATTCATCTTCCTCACTCCGAAGACGTGACAAGGGGCAAGGTGATCAGCGGAGCAAACCTCGGAAAAGGACGATTGGATTGATTCGAATCCCTTTGCACACCGATACAGTGACAAGAGAGGACGACTACCTGTGCCGGTAAAACCCTAGAAACAACGGATCTGAAATTTTGGCATAGATTCGTAAAGGAGAAGAGTAGCCGGGGAATGTGCAGAACCGGGAGGATGAATATGTTAGTGAAATCTAGTCGATGCCGTTCTGGAGTGGGGGCGTCGGGTACTTTTGATCGAACCAGAGATAGTTCTCGGTATAAAAATCTATCAAGGCAGGTGATGTGAAAAATGGCAAAAAAAGGTAAATATGAGCAATTCTACTTTGCAATATATATACCAAAATCTATGGCATAATACCACTTGTTAGTTGAATCAAAAGGTGTAAACTAGTACAGCCGAACTAGAGCCATTGTGGCCTTGATTTTGAGCTTGATTAATTTATTCTAGTTTAAGCTTGAGCTTAAAGGTAAGTTGGTTTTAGCTTTTCGCCCGCATTCAAAATCGAGTCATCGAATCACGCGTTTGATTCACACTTTTGTGGATCGCATTACAAACCCATGTCAAAAATGTCTTCTCACCTCGGCTGGCTGATCGTAGCTCGTGTCTGCGTCCTGCATTCCCTACCATGCAATAAGCTTATGAAAAGAATAAAAAACTTACGGTATCAGTAGAATGTATGTCGTTCACACATACCTGACAGAATTTTGCTCCATAATTGTTCGAAAAATAATTAAACCTAATAATTATGTTGCATGTAAGGTTTTAAATAATTATGGCAACAATCTCGATTATCCAATCCATATAACAAACTTATGGGTATATTGTAGTAATCGTTCACTTCTAATAAATTTGAGATACATCAATAATGAATTTTTTTTCCCAAAAAAATAAATGAATTATACAGGATTTTAAGTTTTTTTAAAATTAATTTTCATTTATTTTTTTGAAGTAAATATTTTGAAATTTCAAAATCTTTATATTTAATTTACATTTATTGCATAAAAAGGCTTTATTAATTATGAGAAATCAAATTGAGCAAAGAAAGAATAATCGAACAGTATTAATTAACTTACACCCCTAGTTTAATCAACAAAAAAATTGATCCAAGTTGCATTAATAAGGCCATATTCTAATATTTTTGTATTCTCTTATATAAGATTAATCAAATTATTAATAAATATTTTTTGGAGATTTGCACCTCAGCTAGCTAAATTTTGAAACTCTCATATTCAAAGCCACCCAAAATTGAAGATCTAAAAAATCACATAAGAGTTTGTTTTAATTATTCCTTGAATTTAGGTCATCCAAGTGATTTATAAAGATATCCATTGATCAATACCATTTATCTAAATAACTCACATACCAAGCGAATTCAAGAGTTGATTAGAGCTAGAATTCAACGTTAGGCTAAACTCATACATTACTGCGAGCTATAGTTTCATATCTATAATATTGAAACTATATTTCATCTATAAATTAAGACTATTATGGATGTGAGCACATAAAAATCAAAACATAGCAAATCTCACATTAGACTTTTTGTTGTTAACTATTTAATGGAGTTCAATTATGTTTTTGTAGATCAATTCATTAAGAAAATCATTTGAGACCTTGCTTCTCCATTTCCTCTCACACATTTGGCTTTACTTTTTCTAGAATAAAGTCATGATATCTTTTCAATAACAACTTTGAATTGAACACAATCTTTAGTGCAAAAAGCATGTAATAATAAAGACCATAAAAACAAACATATATCATTTTGATGACTTTGAAAGGTCTGCATAGTGAACAATTTTACGAATGTGTAATTTTTAAACTATGTTATATGGTTGATTGTTTGAACAAGATGATGTAAGGCATTTATGTGTTTTTTATAGGTCACTCTTTATATTTTCTTGAATGCATGACAATAAATTGTGTCCTTTATATGCAAACATTATATTTAACTGAGGGTTGTGGATCCAACTCTAAATTATGACGATGAGCCTTATATCTCTTTAGAGAGTAACACAAGTCTCCTCATTCTAAAGTGTAAGACCTAACTGATAAATTCTACTTAGTATGGATTATGGAGTTTCATCCATTATCAAAAGTTTATAGTAATAATAATGTAAAATTAGCATACAAGGAAGTGGATCTTACTGATTGCTTGACTCGTTTCAATTCAATTATTTTCCTTCTCATTTGAGCAACACTATGAAATGAAATGTTTTTTACTGCTTTTCATGAAGGCATCAAGGTTGTTAAATTTTTGTTCTCCCTTGGGAATCATCACCTCTTTTGTGAAAATCAAACAATAGCTATCACTTAGTTTGTTAGCACCCAACAATTTTGACAAACAACTTAGGTGTTCCTTAAAATAAGGCAAAGATGGTATGAAAGGTAAAAATAAGTTATCTCAAGAGATTACATGGTGGAGCAAACATTCAAAATTCAGATGGAAAATAGTTAAAAAAATACTATGTCATAGCTATTCTATAATAAGGAGAGAGAGAGAGAGAGAGAGAGAGAGAGAGAGAGAGAGAGATGAGGTAGAGATTGATAGTAGATTAGTCTATAAATCTATGATATTTTTAGAATAAGTGAGAGGATTTACCCACAATATCAACTTTCATGATAAAGAGAGGAGTTGTACAATGTACGTTGATCTTTTTTTAGAGCTATGAGAAGAATAAAAAAGATGTGATAAAATTGTAGCATGGTTGTGTTACACTTTATATGAAATTATAGAAATAAGTAAAGTGCATTAATTAAAAGTGAGAATAAAGATAAGAGATTAATGACTACACTTAAGTTTACTAGTCTTGATGATAAATTTCTTAGTGACCCTTTAAAAAATAATCAATGAATGTGCATACGTGGGATATCACCTTGAATGCTAAAAATAAAGAAAGTTGATTCCTTGAACAAAATTGCAATCATTGTAACAAGAGCATCTCAGGAGCAAGCAAATGAGTGAGTTTAAAGGTTTGAAACTTTTGTCGGCTTGATGATGAAAAATTTATAACAAAATTGAATATAATGATTGATATACTTATAGTGATGATAGATAATAACACTACAACGATGGTGAAAGATAAATTGTATGGCATCTTTTTTAAAGAGTAGGTGTTGTAAGCATTGTCATATACAAAAGTATTTCAAAAGTTTGAAATTATCCTATAATATGATAGCATGATGGGTTACATAAACAATTAATGGTGGTTATGTGTAATGTATAGCAGGAAATAGGGAAAAATAAATAGAAGCAGCCTTACTAGTATATGTGGGTTGTTTCGGAGTGGCAAATGATAAGTTTTTAGGAGTATATCTAATTATCGCTAGAACTTGTGTTGGATGCATGCCAGAGAAGACACTTTAAGGAAATTTTAGATGAAGGATGGAAACTACCAAGGTGGTACACAATAATGTCCATAGCAATCATTGAAAGGCATCTTATGCACACTTCTTGTGATAGCTCATTAGAGGGTTGTTTTAAAAATTAAGCACCTACTAATTCAACATTATAACATTAGTTTTGGTTCATATCTATTATGTCTGCATAGAACACAAAAACAATAAAGATTGCGCATCATCTTAAACCTTCTTTTGGATTTAGTTATTATTCTATTTTAAAGCACTATAAGTGCAACCTATAATGTTTTGAAATATATTATTTGTCTTTAATAATTCACTCTTATAGTTTCTATTTAATAATTTACTATTCTTAAGATATCATGGCTAAAGTACTTAAAAGCACTCCCTCTTTAGAAAAAAAAGAATTTTTTGAATAAATAGAAGCCCATGACATTGCCACCAAGGTGACCTCGCAAAGGTTCATAACAAGGTTACTAAAAAAATTGAATTTTGGTCTAATGATTATGAATCCTAGCATTTAAGGAAAATGAAACATAAGAAGTATATATAATGTTCCAAAAGGCATCCACTTAAGGTGGTAATGCAAAGTTTATATTGTTAGCATGCATAAATTCTTATAGTTACATTAGTTTTCAATAATGATGTTCATCATCTATGAGCTTAAAGCCAAGGAGGATGATAACCCAAAAGTGTAAATGAATCGCATGTGCACAATGACGAGACTCTAATGAAAATTAACTGTGAGAAGGATGATGAAATTAAATGCTTTGGATAATGTTAAGTGAGAAGTTGAACAAAATAGTATTGAAACTAAGGTAGTAGAGATCTTTATATCTAACACTGTCTTTGACAGCCCAGGTAAGGGTGGAGCAAACCCATAGGAAAAAAAGGAGGTGATTATGGAGCAAAATAGAGATGGTGGAGTTACAAGAGACAAAATTCTATCCTCATAATCATGTTCTTAGCTTAAGTTCTTCAAGACCAAGATAGAGTGCTTGTTCTTAGGGCAATTGTTGGAGAGGGTTATGATCTCTTATGCTTCAAGTTTTTTGATGTTAACCTATAACATAAAGGTGGTGGACATGGATAGATAGAACACAACTGTACATACATATCAAATGCATATTTGTACAACAAGTGGTGGAAGTGAGAAACTAAATGACTAGTATCAACATGATATTGCCTTAATTCATGATGGTATTGATGAACATATATAGAAATTATACAAGTTGAGATGGTTCTCTACGAGTACAAACACTCTTTGGATAATATTGAGAGAAAGTTATGACTTACAATTTTTTAGAAGTTAAGAGTTCTAGAAATTGCTGAAATTTAAGTCTATCACATTTAATAAATTTGTTGTGCTTTTTCTAATGTGCTTATGTCTCAATGTGTGGGCAAATCTAAACGTGCTAGGTCTCTATACTATGTTAAATGATGCCATTAGAATAATGGAGAGCTAAGACAATAACACTAAGATGATAAAAGTGATACAGTTAGTGTATGAAATGACAGCCTAGTATTATTGAAAACCTAATTTTAAGATTTTCAATCATACATACACACACGCACACGCACACACTCAAATGCACACACGCACGCATGTGCACCCGTGTGTGTGTGTGTGTGTATATATATATATATAAGACATTCAATTTAGAATTAAGGTAATATGAAGTATTACTATATGATAGAAGATCTTGCTTATCATAATAGCTTATTATTCTTTGGGTGAGTAATAGTGCACTCAAAAATAGATAGTTCTTCCTTCAAATAGGACACTACCATTTTATTTGGACACTTAAATTATTGACATTAAATCAAAAAATAAAATTTCAAATGTGAATAATTTGGTGATTAAAGTTCATGTGATAGTTTAGATTAAATTCATCAAACTGCCACAAAAAAAATTTGATTTCTAATGAGATCATGTTGGATTCAAATCAAA